AAAGGCAGAGAAGATGCTACGCCATATATATGGAGCATCTGGGAACTCAATATTACCGAGACTTCTCAGGAGAGATTATGGGGACCACGGGACATGTGCTTCCAGAACATTCAGGGCCATTAATTCTTCCAAAGAGAGCTGAGCTATATTAATTGAATGAACTGGAAGAGCCTTCCTCTGGCTGGTGAAGAGTTTTTCTCTATGCAAAAAGTCTCCTACATTTTCTTTCCTCACATTGCATTAATGAAATATCTAATTTTAGAGAAAAGTGGTGATTTCAGCTTGTTCAGGCACTCAGCAGACTTGCAGAGTTCAACTGTCTTCAAAAGAAATCAATCAAAAGAAATTTCTGGGTTAACCAAGTTGCAACTCCAGCTTCTCTTGGGTGTTAGTGCACCCTACTGGCAGAAAGTCTGAGCTCACAGGAGAACTTCAGAGCAAAGCAATAGGTTTCTCTCACTCACTTCTGCTCGTGGTTTACAGTATCTCCCATTAGTCCACAGAGAGACAGATTCCAGTTGGCATTTTGCATCAAATGGACACCTGTTGTTTATTGATGCTTCCAAATAGGAGCCAAGAAGCCCTAGCAATCTGCTAGAACCATTCCCAGGAGACATTTTTAGATCGAGAACATATGTTTCCAGTAAAGCTGCATTAGAAGTGACTTCACCCAGCTTATGGCTTCAAATCGAAATCCTCAGAAACGTCGTGGCACCACCCTGCAGTTGCCCTGACTGTTGTCATCCCTGCACATGCAGAGTCTTCCAGGACTCGCCCAGCAGTGCCTCCAGCAAACCAGTGGGGAAAGGGGGGAAGTGGCAATCAGACCCCTTGCCTCTGCTCACCTTGGCGCACCATGTTTGTTCTCACAACAAGGGGGGGGGTGGGAAAGCTGCCCCTTTGTGCAGTTGAGTTCTGGTGAAACACAGGCAAGGCATCCTGGTATCTTGGCTCCCACAAGGAGAGATCAGGAGCTGCAGAGCTGGCAGACAGGACAAGGAGAGAGCCCCACCAACAGGGACAATGTCTGCAGCCCAATTCTGCCTGTGCTGCAACCAAGCCAGTAGCATTCTTAGCTTAACTGCAGAACGGATACAGAAGCCCCACCATCTTTGTGGGCACACAGCAGTGGTCCTGGGTCAGAGCAGTGGCCATGGATGAAGGGGCCATAGATGAAGGGATGGGTGAAAACTAGAGAGTGTTGGAAATATAGACAACCTTAGTAATATCTGCATTGTGCATTGGGCGCGGTTCTGGTCACTGCACCTCGAAAAGGATATAGTGGAGCTAGAGAAAAAGAGGACAACTAAGATGATCAAGAGGCTGGAGCAGATTCTCAATAAGGAAAGGCTGTGATGTTTGGGGCTCTTTAGTCTAGAAAATGAGAGAGGACATGACTGAGGTGCACAAAATCATGCATGGTGTGGATAAAGTGGGCAAGAAGAAGCCGTTTCCCTCTTCTCAGAATACCAGAACCAGAGGTCACCCAATGACATTGAATCCTGCAAGAATCAGGACAGACAAAATTATTTTTTTTACACAACATGTAATTCAACTTTGCAATCCACAACTCCGAGATGTGGTGCAGGTTACCAGCTTGGCTGGCTCCCTAAAAGCGTTGGACCAACTCATGGACGCCCTGGGGACCCATGGCTCTTAGCCCGGATGGCAGTGGGGCTGCCTCTGATGAGGGCCACCTGCTGGGAGGCCAGTGGGATTCCTTGGGCAGTTGGTGGGCCCCTGGGAGAACAGACTGCTGGACGGGATGGGCCGGGGGTCCCGCCCAGCAGGTCACAGTTTCTGTTCTTAAGTTATTATCAATCAACCCAGAACATTCAAGCACAACAAAATCTTCCATTTTGGGCTATGGCTCAAAAACAGATTCAAAGACAGTATATTAAGGAAAAGCATATGGAAAAAGCAGGTTCTTACTAAAATTCTTGCCAAAAGACTCCTGCGAAAAGCACCAAAGTATGCAAGAACATGTCTTCCTTCTGTCAACCCTGAAAAGAACAGCAGCCCATTTGTGCTCACAGCAAACCAGGCTCTTGAATTTTCTACCCAGAACTGTGGGAGCATCTCTCCGGATCTCAGGCAGAGAGAAGGGCTGTCTGAATCATCTGCCAAGAGACTCTCAAGGGCAAGGTGGGAAGGCGTTGATGTCAGAGTGGGGCCCAGGACTGTCTGCCTGGACCTTCCTGGTGGGATTCACCAGCAACTTCATCTCTGCCTCATTTCATTTCCAAAAAAAAAAAGAAAGTAGACTTAGATGTAGAAGGTACTTCTCTCATCTAACTATAACCAAAAGCTTCGCATTCAATCCACCTTTCCCAGAGCGATGATTCATTAGTTATTAGAGAAGCTGGTTTCCATGAGACTAGCCCTCAGCAACCTGCACCACTCATAAACCAGCTTGGCTAAAGACCAATCAGAAGTCAGGACACCTGGCTATAAAGACAGGAGCCCCGTTGGTCCCTGCTCAGTTGCCTCTGAAGATGCCAGCCAGAGTTGCTGGTGAAACATCAGGAAATCTGCTGTCTAGGCCAAGGTCACCAACCCCTGAAGCCCAGTACTGCCCAACAGATGCACAATTCTTCATCCGTTACGCTACTGAGGTGTTTAAAACATTTGCTTTAGGGTATGTGTGAACCTTCAGGTGTGCAAGAGAAGACCAATAGCAGGGAGAGTTTTGTCACTTTGACCAAGCTCAAAGAATCGTGGAGTGCTTTGCACTGGGACCGCGTCATCAGGATAGGAAGCCTGTAGGTTTCCCATCTCCCTTCCTCGGCTACCCTAATGAGATGGTCCTCGCCTTTTCTGCCTGATCTGAGCACAGAGTCCCTGGGAGATCCATCACACGCGCTTTCTCGCCAGCGATCCAGCAAAAGTCCATGTCGCTCAGCAACAGAAAAGGGCAGCTGGTTCTGCTCCTCTTCCCTCGAGAGGGAGCTGGATTCAGAATTAAGCAATGGATTTGCTAAGCCAAAGCCACACATGCTAAATTACAGCTCTTCTGCATGAGTGGCATAGGTCAATGCATTTGCACCGGTCCGGTTCCCCTCCATTAAAACAAGGCAGGTGTTCGGAATGACAAAATGCAGAATGACGCTGCCGGCCGTTTACGATCACTTGACACTAATAGAAAATTTTACAACCCAAACCTGCACCAGCACCTTGAAACCGAGGCATGATCAATGGCTGTCCTAGGAAACGTTCAGGAGGAACCATGAAAGGGGGACATATATTTGAAGAGCAGAGTCTTTCTAAAACACGTAAGAAATGCTCGCCGCTCTGGATAACAAATGCTTGCTCAAAGCCTGCAGGGTTTCCTTGCAAGTCACTCCTAATTTACTCCACAAAGGCAATCCCATTTTTTTCCTCAGCCAACCTGTGATTTTTCTCTCTCAAAGGACACTGAAGCTGCCCTAGGATAGGGGCGCTGGCAATGCCTGGCTCAGAGGTTCGAGGGTGTTATATAGCGAAACCTTGTTTGAACTGACTAATTGGGGGGGGGGGGTGTCCTGTCATTCATTAATATCCACTGAACTCAGAGTGGATGCCATTATTCTGGGAGTTGAAGTCCACCCGTCTTAAAGTCGCCAAGGTTGAGGAACCCTGCTATAATATTGTTAGCAGAGGTGTCCACATGGGGCAGGAGGTATCCCAGAGGTCATGATGGGGGCCGGGACCACCTGATTGAAGCCCTGTCTTTTTTTTATGTGCATTGCACATGCAACGTATTTAAAAATAGGCAGGGTACAATCACAGTCATAGCCACCATCTTGACCTTTTTGGCAAGCATGGCCTACGTAGAGAGAGATGGGGTTTCAACCGTGCCACGGCTTTTGGGACTTTTTTGATAAAGTCCTTGCTTGTGATTTCAGCTGCTTCATGCCTTCAATGCCTTTCTGAGATCAGCCACAAGGGTCTTGTACCCTGCCCCGTGATTGACTGGGTTTGGGGGTTCACACGCCATGGCTGACCATGGATGGGCATCTGACTCACAGTTGCTCCAGTACAATTCGTCCCTCTCCTGTCCCGGTATGGACTGAGCTATCTCAATTCATATCACCCACTGACCTCACGATCGACCCAATTGCATATGGTGTGCGCTCAACCAGCGTGTTGCTACGGTGAAAAGTGCAAAATCTTGATGCTGGAATTGCTAGGAAGGAAACTGAAAAGGAAACTGTCAATTTTATAACGCCTTTGGAATAAATCCACAGCCCAGTTCTGGCCACTGCATCTCACAAAGAATATTATGGATGTTGTAAAAGATGCAGGGGAAAAAATGATCTTCAGGTCTAATGCAGTGGGATCTTTCTTCTGTTACATCCTTTTGTTAAAATAATACCGCAGCAGCATTATGCTGAAGCAGACTTGTCTCAAGAACCCTGGAATGGAATTAAAGCATAATTCATAATACAGTGGTGCATTATTGATAAAGCCCATTCCTATACATTCTTTCCATAATGTATATTATGAACACAGCCCTCTTCAGCTCCTGCAACTTTAATTAGGACCTTCCTCCTCTTTACGGCGATCTAATATTGTTTCCTTTTTAGTTCAGCTGATGAACTGCTGATGAACATCAGTTTTCTGGACCACACTGGTGCCTTCCTCCTTTTTCCTTAATGGTGAAAATACCCTATGGTCTAATAAAAGTACGAAGAAAATAATGACTAGTAACCACTTAAAAAGCCATTCTGCAGCAAAACGGTGCTGAGCTGGACAGGAGCAAACCGGAGGGCCAGACACTGAAAATACAGAAGAAATAATTTAAAGGACAGCGGCTCTGAAATGTTTCAGTGGCAGTTGGGGAAATAAAATATGTGCAATCATAATTGGCAATAATATTTGCTTGGCTATAATATGTCAGAGGTTTCTCCCTAAAATAGGAGTGACCGATGACAGTAGAAGTTGACTGTCAGCTGTTTCCCTATGGAAAAATCTCAGACAATGAAAAGCTTTAAAAACTAGAAGTCAAACGGGCCAAAATATAACAGACAGATGCTTTAATGAAATCTCTTCTTTGGATCCTTAAACACTGAAACTCTGCCCCTCACAAGGGTCTGGAGGAAAGAAAGGGACACAAACATTTCAAGCACTCATTGTGTGTTTTTCATCCAATAGACCTTCTGCTTTTCTCCTTCCTTGCTCGAAAGCTCCAAGGAGGCCAAGGGAACCGCCTCTGGCTGCTCTTGAGGTGGTCCTCTCAGGCCCGATGTCTACCAGGCAAAGTGTGGAATGCAGGAGAAGTAGGCGCATCCCTGAGGAAGGAAGGAAGCGGGGAGAAGAAAGTAAGACCCAGAGGACACAGAACGTCCCACAAGCCCCCGTGGCATCACCCTCACCCAGGGCACTGGGCACTTCTGCCCGAGAGCCTAAGAGGCAGCCCTTCAGAGCTGTCCTCAGGGTGTGGCCCAAAAAGTCAAGATGGCAACCACGACAATGCAATCGGAGCTCTGCCTGTTTTGTATGCGCACCAACCACACCCTTGGGGCCACCATCTTGACTTTTTGGATTACACCCTGCAGACACCCTTGGAGGCCCACCTACATGGACACTGTAAGCTCTGGTGCCTGCGGACTGGATTTCGGTCCTCCTGGATGCTTAAAGGAGCCAGGACAGTGACAGGGGGGTGAGTGAGGGGGTGGTGAATACATCCTGGAGAGGGACATTTGCCACCCTGGAGCAACTACTGCTCAACCCAATTATTTTCGGCAATTACCATCCAGGATCTACCTAAGACAAAAGGAAAGGAGAGGGTGAAATTCTCATTTGGCTGAATGCTCATGTACATACTGACACAACTTGGATACAGAGAGTCCTCATTTAGCAACCACACTTGGGACCAGCAACCTGGTCATTAAGCAAAGCGGTCACTAAGTGAACCTGTGACTGTGCTTATGACCTTCCTTCAATTTCCTTTGCTTTACAAACCTGTGAAGGTCATCAATGTGAGGATTGGTCATAAAGTGACTTTTTCATCACCATCATCACTGCGAACAGTCACTAAACGAGGCAGTCACTAACAAGGACTATCTGTACTTTTCTTCCTCCAGGGATATTTCCCATTTCAATTAGAAAGAAGGGGACTAAAAATAGAGATCTGGGAATAATCTGCCATTCAAAATTCAGGCTCATCACAGTTTGCTGATATCACCTGAGTGAAGAAGCTCTTCCTTTGGGTCCATCCTGGAGAGTTCCTGATGGAAACTAAATTGGGGGAGTCTGGTAGCCCCTTTTCAACTAACCAATTTTATTCAAAGGCAGCAGCTTTCTCAAGGCTGCCCTTAGCCAGTGTCGGAAGAGCGGGGAGATACTGCTTCATTGCCAGTGCAGCTACGGGCGACTGACGCCCATCTCACTCGCAGGCTGGGGACGAGTCAAGGATAGCCTCAGAGGACAGGACAAAACCAAACGGTTGCCAGGGCAGGTTTCTGCCCTGGCTAGGGGCAAGTGAGAGGTGAGCGGCTTTTCCCTCCATCTCCCCTTCTTTCAGACCGCTTCCATCACACTTGGACTAAGGACGGGAATATCTTTGCACTAACTCTGATTGGAAACACGCTCTGCCTGACAGTTGGGCTGATGGAGGAAAAGTTGGGGGGGTTGGCCATGTTGGGGGAGGGAGGGGGGTGGTGGTGGAGATGCTGGGTCGGGGGCAGGTTGAGCAACAGCAGAAAGAGCAGGCGCTGCCATTTGTGCATAAACCGGGGCACCTTCCTTCCCGTGCCTGGCAGCAACAGGGAGGTTCTGGTGACAGGGCCATCTGCAGTGAACCAGGATCTGCTCCAAGTAGCAAAATGTGCACTGTGTCATCGCCACAGAAGCTCCACCCCACGGCCAGGCGTGCAACATCACGATCCTGGTACAAATGCGTGGTCCCTCTCTTGCCACCCACGGCTGGTGACCCCCAGTTCTTTATCGGCATTCTTCCGGCACGAGGGCTAACGGAGTTACAGCTACCTCGGTGGCCGAGGCAGCGGACGCACAGATAAATAAAAATAAATGGAGATCAGGGGCCTCCACCCCACACAGCCCTTGGAAATGGATTCTTTCTCACCTCGAGATAAACGATACTGTTGCAAACATCACAGGAATAGTGTATTGGTAAAAAGAGGTAAAATTTTCCTTTCAGGCCATCTAGAAAGAAAATTCAAACAGAACGAAAGAGATCTTCATCAGTGGTCATCTACTGAAAACCCACAAGAGCAAAAACTCTCCAGTGCCATCCTGGAGCAGGCGAGGACCAAACGGGCTACTGACGGCTCGGCTCTTCCCCAATTCTCTGTCCAGCCTGGGCAGGTCCAACGTCTAGGATGTCAGGACGGGCAGGAAGCTCAGAGGCAGGAAGCTCAGAGGCCAGCCAGTCAGCCAACAGACTTTGCTGCTTGCACACGGAGCGAGGGTCCTGGGCTGTGGCAAGGAGGCTGCGCTCCTTGGACTTTTCCAAGGGTTCCAAAGGATCCGTCTATCCTTTGCTGCTGCAAACCAAGTCCCACACATGCTTCACATGTGTCCATTGCGCCATCACCACAGCCGTCTTGTTGAACTTTTCTATCAGCCTTGTGGACACCTCTGTTAGGTGCAGGGACATCTGCAGCATAGACCCGTTCCATCAAAGTGATGAAACAAGCATTGCACCACAAGCACCATCCCTTTTGTACATGTGTACGACATTACACAACAACTTTAGTGTTAAAATGGAGCTTGCATCGCAATGGCACACTGTTCGTATCATCATCCAACGTCTCTGGGGAGAGGCAGGAATCCGGGCAGTAGGAAATCCCTGTTTCCCATGCACCCCAACCTAGGACTCAGGAGCTATGGAAGGGTAGAGGCCAGGAGGCATCAGAGGCAGGTGCCCATCGCCCCCCCAAATTTCCTCCTCCCCCCCAACCACTGCTGCCCCTGGAACTCCACTGGGGAAGAGTGTGAACCAAGATGGTCCTTCTTTGCACGCCACCCTCTTCCTCCACAAAACAGGAAGGGAGGGGCGTCACAGGGATCTATACACCTGAGCAGGTGCCAGCATGCCCATGCGATCCTAAACCTTCACCCAGGACTAATGGCTCCTGCCTCACTCCAGATCACGTAATTCTACCAGCGGCTGGAGCAAAAGGCAGCAATACTCACCACTGAATACCTCTTCACTCCACCTTTTCAGTGGGAAGACACTTTCCACTACATCGTTCTGCAAAAGGAAGAGACAAGGAGCCATGAAGAGAAGCTGGGAGGTGCCTTTTCTGCTCTCCCATCTGCTTTCTAAGGAGGGGACTTGGGTGAGGACACGAGCGAGCCGTGGCCGGTCCAGCCCTTGGGCCGGAAGGATATATGAAATGTTATTCTCTAGAGTCCTTTCAAAACAATTGGAAAGAGGCCAGGGAACCTTTGACAGTGGCTGGGAAACAGCTCATAAAACCCCAGAATGGTGGAGCTGGAAGGGATCCCGGGGATCATCTAGTTCACCCGTCTGCAAAGTGCAGGAAAACCTATTACGGCATTCACGAGCGGTAGCTGTCCAACCTCTTCCTAAAAACCTCCAGAGACGGAAAACCCCTACCTGCCCTTGGAGACTGTTCATCAGGAATGTATTACAAACATGAACAGTCCCCTTGCCTTGTGGCTTCTCTACCCACACCCCAAATTCATGGGGATTGTTGCTCTTTGATCACTAGAAAACCCCAGCTGTTCCAAATCTACAGCCCCTTGATTCTCTAGGGAGAGAGGAAAAGACTTTAAAAATTGAGACTCAGTGCATCCCGCCCTTTGTCCACCCTTCCTCATTGCCACCTACTCACATCAATGGTGCAGGACTCCGTTTTACAAGAAGCCGTAATCTGGAACTCACTGAGGAGAAATAAGCCATCATGACACAAGATGGAATCAGCTTCTTATCCGGACCCCCCTCCGACCCCAAGCCAGCTCCCAGCCTTTCTCAGAGAATCACTGCAGCCTCTCTCCTGCCTAATTTATTACCAAGCTCTTTACTCATTAACTGTATACCCCACTTTTCCTCCAGAAGTTCAAGGTAGTATAAATAGCAATCCCTTCTCCATATTTTGCAACCCAAAATCCTACCTTGCCAAACATCCCCTTCTGATGCTACATAATTTGGGAAGCTACCCAGTTCCTTGCTGGAATTGCATATATATACATACAAACCCATCAAGTTATTCCTTTTCAGAGTCTTGTCTTTAGAGGTGAATGTGTGTAGCTCAGGGTTGAACTGTGGAGTCCTTGGGGTTCTCTGAGCTTGGTTCTTTTCTTTGCAAGAAAAAAACCATATCTCCCTCTGGGGGAGATGGGCGGCATGTAAATGTAATAAGTAAATAAATAAAATATGTGAAGAAATGCTGCATGGTTGGGTGAGAACTAGTATTGTTTGCTGTGAAGGTTAGTTAGATTGTAAAATGCATGAAAATTAAGGTAACAAAGACAAGTCTGTGGCGTCTTTGGGGTTCTCTGAGCTTGGTTTTTTTCTTGCAAAGAAAAGAACCAAGCTCAGAGAACCCCAAAGACTCCACAGTCTTGTCTTTGTTACATTAATTTTCATGCATTTTACAATCTATCTAACCTTCACAGCAAACAATTCTAGTTCTCAACCAACAATGCAGCATTTCTTCACATATTTTATTTATTTACTTATTACATTTACATGCCGCCCATCTCCCCCAGAGGGAGATATGCTATCTACATATGCTATCTACACCTGCAACCTTACTGTCCTTCAATATCTTCAGAGCATTTTTTACTTTCTTTTTAACATTTTTTCCTTGGGCACTAATATTTCTGTTCCACTTTTCAACACGTCAGTACCTTTCCATATAAATCTCTGAAACTCTCCTTCCAAACTCCTTCATGTCAGCTTCATCTCTTTTAATCCCATTCACTCTGTAGGCTCCTTGTTTAGTCCTTTTCGACAACTTCCACAACAATTCTTATTTCCATCAAAATAACTGCGTTTTCTCTGTGTCTTTTAAACGTAAATGTTCCTTGCTCTCATTCACTGCATTCTTTGCATCTCTATTCAGCATCTTTCTCTTCAGTTTTTGACATGATCACCATTCTCTTACGTGCATTTTTTCTTACCCACAGCCTCTTTCACTTCATCATTCCTCAAAGCAACCTTTTTCATGCTTCCCATTAGCATAGCTCCCTACACGTCCGGGGCCTTCTGTGATACCATTCTTTTCACTCTGTTTCTAGTACATCTTCCACATCTTCCTTCCTTCCAACCCTTTTCCATTAACTCTGTTCAGAGATTAATCTACTACCTTCTAAAACTTTTCAAACAGGATTCAAACATTTTCTTCTTCTACTTCTATTCTCATTTCTTACTTTTTTCTCAATGTCCATTTCTGCCCACAATCCACGCTTGACACTACCCAAAAATGGTCTGTCCTGTAGTTCTCATCACCCTTACATCCTTCTTTAATTCTTTCATTTTTCCAGAAAGTAATAAAATCAATCCTGTTTTAGATTTATATTCATTCCTTTGCCATATGTACCTGCTGGCATTCTGGGAAGCCATAAGACCTGACTTTTGGATTAGTAGCACTGGGGAGGGGGGTCCCCTTCTTCACAGGTGGTTCTTGGTGTGCTAATGGACAGGATGATTTATTGCTGTTATTGGGTTCGGAGTGCTACGTTTCCCTGTTATTTGATTTTTGGTCAACTCAAGGCAGAGTACATAGCTCGTGCTCCCTCCTCCTATTTTCTCCACAACCACAACCCTGTGAGGTGGGTTGGGCTGAGGAGAGGGACCGGCCCAAAGCCCCCCCAGCCGGCTGTCCTCCCTAAGGGAGAACTACAGCTTATCCAGCACCTGAGCCACTAGACAAACTGGACCTCCTTGTTATTCTTTTTATTTTTGTATTAATTGTATGAAACTTAAGAGCCTTTTTGGAATTAAGCAGCCCATAAGTGGCATTATTTTTTTGATGTACACACGAATAAATTTGCTTAAAGCATGTACTTGAAATAAATAGGTCTTTTTCTGACCAGATAACCACCAAGCAGTCACCATTCCATTCATTCTTAGGTCCCCTAATGTTCCAGCTGATTTTTCTGTACTTCTTTGTATCCTTCTCACTCATCTATTCATGTCACATACCAGAATAATTTTTCCCCTGGATCTCATTCATTCAGAACATTTCACAACTTTCTCCCCAATTCATCTCACTCTCTTCCATGTATTCATCAACCCTACTCCACAATATCATTAATTACCTCTGTTGCTTTTCTCTTTGTTTCACAGACACACAACATATCTAAGGAGACATCCTTAGAACACTAAGATTGTCAGAGATTCACACAAGCCACCCTTTCTGACCCAAGCTCGTTCCTGCCTCCAGCTTCCAAAAGATCAAATCCAATTCTTACCATTCAGGTTTGGATCCATTACCTTGATATGCTCACTGAGAACAAGATCAGTTTCGTTTGACAGTTAGTGGTAGCATGGACAACAAGTTTCCCTGTCTGAAAATGGAGAACAAAAAGCATCAAGAAGTCCACCAAATATGGCCGAAGTCCATTTGATGTATTAAGGGTCAGGAAACTTAATAGATCCAGAAAACATCAGCTTGCTTTTGAAGGAGATCCATCACGGGCAAATGGAGGGAGATGACAGACATCTATCAAATCACAGATGGCAAATGGAAGGTCTGTTGCAAAGGTTTGCACACTTTTAGGAGGGAACAGCGCTCCTTCTCCTCCTCTCCCTCCTCCTCAGCTACTCCCAGTTTTGTTTTGTTTTTTTAATCAACGAATGTAGCGTAGCTCATTCCATCCTCTGTACCTCATTCGGAGTTGTCTTTGGAGTGAGGGCTTGGGGATGGAAGACGCTTGGTAAAAGGATGGGGCAATTGGCCGGGTTGCCCCCATGGCTTCCTCTTCTGCATATAGGCTTTCCTCAGGAGACCCCGGACCTGAAGTCCACCTGTCCCAAGAGTCACTGTGACCAGCTTAGCCAGGACGTGACCAGTGGCACGGTCAAGGACGCCCAGCGCTTTCCCTTGAGGTCTCCTTTGAGAGAGCAGAAGGGCTTTGGGAGGAAACCTAGTCCATGCCACAAATTGTTAGGAACAGGACTGGAGACAGGACAGGATCCCAAAAGCAGAGTTTGCTTGGCACTATGGTATTTACCAATTAAACCCTCCCACCACCCTGCACACACACACACACACACACACACACACACCCTTCTTTGAGTGACAAAATTCACAGAGCAGAGCCAAAAAGAACTTGTGGATTTTCCGGTCGTAAACTTTCTCGGGGCACTAAAACGCCAGCCAACACACTCAGGCTGGTTTTGCCTCAGACACATTTCAGCCACTCTGAGGGAGGGCCAGATCTATTCTGCACGAAGGGGTCAAGCAAGTGGTGGGACTTCTGCACGGTGGCCTTTGGGGAAGCTCAACGGGTGAGGCACCTTGCTGGTAGAACATCAAAACTCACCACTGGAGTAAGACGGTAAGTGCCCTATTTGCTTCTTTTAGGGCAGTGCTTCTCAACCTCCTAAGATGTGTGAACTTCAGCCTCCAGATTCCCCCAGCCACCATGTGTAGACTTCATTTCCCAGAATTCCCTAGCCAACATATGGAGACTTCAGCTCTCAGAATTCCCCAGCTGGCATGCAGGCTGGGGAATCCTGGGAGTTGAAGTCCACACATCTTAAATTGCTAAGGTTGAGAAACCCTGTCTCTTTGTAGTGGTTGGGAGCGGGAATAAAGCTGTTCCTAATCCCATGGGGCAAAAGACGTCTATAAAACCAACTGGGAGATTTAACCAAATTCTGCTGACCAGGACGGTCTTTAAGCCGATGACTCTAAAGGAGCCTTCACCTCTCACGTTACTGTAGTCCAACAAATCTGGAGTCGAGGGCCTTAGTTGAAGAAGGGTGTTCTAAATTAAAAATAGCTAAATAGTTTTGATTGGTTGTATTCTTTTTGATATATTTTCCTTCTTTTAATGCAGTGTGGCTGGGGAATTCTGGGAGTTGAAGTCCACACGTCTTAAAGTTGCCAAGTTTGAAAAACACTGTTTTAATGGTAAGCCACCCAGAGTCCTTGAAAAATTGAGTGGCCTCAAAATTTAAATAAATAAATTAGAAGCAATCTGAGGGAGGGGTTACTCATCCTTTCGCACCCAGGGACCCCTGCAAAGTGGGGGAGGCTCATCAGAGACAGAGACTCCAGGACAGCCATCACAACAACCTTCCTGTGTCTTCATCTGGGCTCCTTTATGAATAGCAGAGAGATGCTATGCTCTCCATAAGACTTCTTCCAAATCTTTTCCAAAGTGCGCACGGGTACAGTTGCTACATGGTGGCTTTAGCACTTGAGAAACACATTCACCTCTGCCCACATAGAAAGATTATATTGAAAATCTTTGAAAGCCTAATGGAAAGTAAGGTACACTAAGGGCCACTGCTTTCCCCTTCTGTATTTGAGCAATGGCTCCAATTTCCATTTCACACCAAGTCCAGGTTCAATACAGAACCTTTCCAGACTAGACTTAGCAAGCTTAGGGTTACCATACCTGGACTGCAAAAATCTGGATGTTACAAGTTGACAGCAAAGAGTCTTCAGTCCCTCACTGCTGTTCCTAGTGCTATGTGGGGCTTTGCAGCTTAGGCATAGAAGCCCTCGCGGGCTCCTAAAGAAAGTGGACTATGGCCCACAACATTTATTTATGCATAAATTAGTTGCAAGACTCATCGCTTCTCATGGAAGGCATTCATCATTCACACAAGGCATTCACTAGAGACCAACCCAGTGGAGGTAGAGACTTTCTTAGGCTTTTCCTGGGGAGAAGCAATTCTGGAGCAAATTAGTGCTAGGCTTTCCCTGAGCATGCTGGACAGTTGTGCTGCTTACCAGAACAAAATTCAGGAGGGAGACAAATTCTGGTTCCTTATATCCAACTGAGACCCGCAAGATGAAATCAAGATGGATACCA